ACCTTTGACCCCTTGGCCTATCAGAAAAAACCTTTGGTTGGTTGGTTTGTTGTTTTGTTTTTTTAAAACATTCCTACAAACACAGCAATACCTTACGTATATGGGCACACGTGTGTGCGTGTGTTGGCACAGGTAGGTGTGTCTGTGTGTGTCTGTGTGTGTGTGGGCACAGGCAGGTGTGTGTGTCTGTGTGTGTGGGCGCAGGCAGGCAGTGGTGAGACTCACGGGCGAGTTGGGGGGTGTGTAGTCCTCGTCTCGAGAGGAGCAGTTGAGCAGCTTGAAGGTTTCCAGCGTCTGTTCGTGTCTCTGAATGGTGGCCTGGATAGCCTGAGAGAGAGGAGGAGGAGGGATGAAGAGCAGGGGGAGAGAAGGTGAGACGCCCCACCAGCACTCACTACAGCAGAATGAGAAGAGGAACCTGACCTGGTCCTGCACTCACTGGGTTCATGGGTTCATGACTGGGATGACTGCGCCCTACCTCTAATGTGAAGTGAGTGAGGCAGCACTGTACAGAGACAATAATGCTGACGTTTATCTTGAAAGAGTATTAACAGAAGGCATGATCTCAGCAGCTCTTCTCAGCTCTCCCTGTGTGTTTGTGCTGAAGATACGTGCAGTTCCAGATACCTGCATCCAGTCTTTCTTCTCTTCCTCTGTCCTGTAGTACAAAAAGAGAAAGATTAACAACAGAAATTAGCACGTGGTTTGAACCCGCAGGTGAGTTTATCTGCTGGGCTTCACAGTGAAAAAGACACTCGTCACTAGTGTGCATGCGAGGTAGAGAGCTCACCGTGCTTGCAGCTCCAGAGAACGTTGCTTTCCGGACACCAGGAAAGTCTGTGGTACGTTCACGCTGCTCGTCTCCTTCAGCTGGGGACACAGCATTACATCAGCATGACATCACACGCCATGACATCATATCATATCATATCACATTACATCACAGGACGCAACATCACACCCCATGACATCATATCACGTCACATCACATCACAGGCCATGGCATCACACCCCCATGACATCATATCATGTCGCATTACATCATAGGACATGACATCACAACCCATGACATCATATCCCATTACAAACCAAGCACTCCACTCTACTGCAGATCATGGGTATTGCAGGGAGAAACCAGAAAGAAACTGCCATGAGAGGACTCACCTCCATGCCATCCACATCAATCCTGGCCCGGACGCTGAACTTCTGCCCGATGAGCCTCAGTTTTGGGACACAGTAGAGTAACCTGTCGTTGAACTGCAGCGAGATACAGACGGAGACAGAAGCTCAGAGTTTTGAGTCTGCATTTTAAATGAAATGTGAACGCAGGACACTCTAATGCTATTGGAGGAGGGGGACTGCAACCTGCTCTCAAGTTCTTTGGTACCCGGGAGCAACAGGAAGCTTGAGATGCAGACATGCGCAGGGAGGAGTAGAAGAGGACAGGGACACAGGAGGAGAGGTATTATTGATGGTGATAAAGAGGGTACTGACCAGGATGAGGTATCGGTCCTGCGAGGTGCCGTTCTTTGCAGACAGTTTGAGGATGTGCCCCTCTTTAATGAGCTCGTTTGTGGGGTTGACAATGTCCTCCTCTCCCCCCAGCAGCTCGTACACCTTCAACAACTTGTGCATCCGCTCCTGGAAG